AGTATCACCAACGGGGGGCAGAGCGCTTCCATTGTAGCAATGGACGCAAAACGTGGTCAGCACTCACACACTCATCAAGAAACGGTTGCTTTCCAAAGTCGACGTCGCATCGACCGGAAGAACTGCTGATGAAGAACAATGACGAGCACCACACAATGGTTGCTGCCGAGTAAGCAGACACACATCGAGAGTGGCCTGATACAATCGACAGCCGAGTGAACCTTTTAGATTGTTGGATAGTTGGATACTTTCAGAATGATACCTGATCAACCCGAAGTTTCGAAAAAATATCTAAAGGACTTCATGGAGATCTTAGAACACCTGCAGATCATTGGAATAATTTCTGAGCAGCCTGGTATCATATAAGAGAATATCTTCTTGATGTAAAAGATGCAAGCGCTTCCATGAAATTCTGTGAAGAACCACGGATTTCCATGAAGTTCTATAATATACTATGAAATTTTTAGAATTACGGTGATGTTCCCCGATCTTTTTACCTCTCACTTATTTGAAATTACAGGGCTGGTAGTGAGTATGTGCTTGAATAGTAGTGACTTTAGTGACTAAAATAACGAAAATAGTGACCAAATAGTGACTTTTAAACAATAAAAAAGTGACCAATAGTGACATTTATTAATTGGAAAGATATGGTTTCAATCTTCCGTTGATTGCGATTGCCACTTCGAGAAATTTTATAAACTCACAAACCCATCATGCGCATTTTTCATGTTTCTAAAAAAATAAAACAAACAATTTAAGGATCCAATTGTCCTCAAAACATAAGTATGAATTGAATAAGCTATTTTTTCAAACAAACTATCTACTAAGTTGATATTAGATCCAAATCACACTTTGATGATTAGATCACAAAATTTAGGCACAGACAAAATTGTTCAAATTTAAAGATTTAGACAGATTTTGACAATTTTAGGACAGGCAATTTTAAATATCTAGAATATAGAATAAGCGATGCGATTAGCGATAAGTATTTTAATTTAAAAAAATCGTTCTCCTCTTTGTAGCCGCTATAGCGCACTGGTCGTCTCTATTCCTTCCAAGTAAAGAATCTTCTGTAACACATAGAAATAAATTCATAACTTTGGGACCTAGACTTGGACCTACACAACTTTTCTAGATCGCAAAAACATCTCATTTGTATGGAACGACGAAAATTATCCCAGATGGAAAGAGCACGGACATAAAGCAACATTTGAATGCGTCTAGGACTAAAAATCTCGATCGTGAAAAAATAGGGATTTAGGGATGCATTTTAGAGTTTTGGACAAGGGGTAAGTCACTCAACACATTATTCCGAAATTAAATTCGGCACAACTTGGGCACATCTTCGGCACAATTTCGTAAGTATTGGTACATTTTAAATAAAATGGGAGCACTACTGGACAACTGTCATTACGTGCTGTTTGACTGTATATTCAGTAACATCCTCTAATTGAATATACCAGAGGAACTCAGACGAGCAGTTAACTTATAGATCTAAATACGAAATGTAGGTTCTAGAGTGGGCTCAAAAGACAGAGGCAGTTGATCAGACTTCATTAATACCCTTAATTCGAATAATGCTGCAACTCACACCAAACAAACTACAGAAGTCTATTCATCATCATCTATAGTCGATCTTGAATTATGTTCCCAACCGGTTCCAAATCTTTCCGGCCGCTAATAGACCGTTGCTTTTCACATCACGAAAGGCTAGGTTTCTGATCTGCCTTTGAGGGCATTATAAAACCCTAAAACACAGGATTTGTATTGTCCTATGAACACAAAACATCATAATTTCGCACACCCGCCACTTCCCGCGTCATCCTCAATCCGATTTATCCCTGCGATTTCAAACCAAAACATTCAAGGCGTCAGAAATACCCGGTTGCCGGGATGGGTATTTTACAAACAATCGCAGCTTGCTCTATGACCGGCACAATCGGCACACCTGTGGTACACTGACAAATAAGATGACCCAAGATTGGTGTGCGGAGTGACCTATCCCTTGGTTTTGGACAATTTTTTTTGGCTTCAAAATTCGAGATCACCGAATTGAGAAAATTGCAATGCCTGACATAATTTTCCAATTTGTTTACATATAGAATGTAAGTTAACAGTCCTTGAACAATTTAAATGCTTCTGAAACATATAAAACAATATGTTATTGCCATGGACATATTTTGTTTTTCTAAAACCTGGACCTGGGAATTTGTTTTCGTAGTTCCGGATTATTCGTACGAAAAAATGCAATACAATTTAATGGACTTAAAAAGGAACTCCTGATTCTGTGACATGATATTTTCGGTGTTTGGACAAATGCTAACGCTACCGGGTGTCAGAGAGTATTCAAATTCTGACCTTTGAAAAAATGTCGAGAGCACTTTCCTAGACTACTTTTGACATTTTAGGCTTGGAAAACATGCAAGATCTCGAAGGAAAATAGCCAGACTACTGGGTCTAGAATTTTTTCGGAACCTCTGACAATTTGTGATAGGTTTAAAACCAATTCGAGATCAAACAAATAATCTTTCTAACACACATTAGTTACCGAATAAATCTGTGATTTGGTTTTACCCTCAACATGGTAGTAAGAAAGTGACTTTAGTGACTAAATTTTAAGGAATAGTGACTTTAGTGACCTTTTGATGAAAAAAGTGACTTATTAGTGACTGGCTTGAAAATAGTGACCAAGTCACTAAAAAGTGACCTGCTACCAGCCCTGAAATTACCTTAACTTCAATGATACTCCCTGAAACTTTTTTATAAATGCAATTTCCATACAGTTTACTGTTATCCATGAACTTCTCCGATTTTTGCGTGAAGCTGTTCGTTATTTCAATGAAGTTCTCCGAACTTTTATAAAATATCCTCAAACTTCTCAGAAGTTTCCAAAAGTTCCCAAATTCCCAAATTTATATTGAATCTTCTCAACTTCTATGAAGTTCTCTGAAAATTTACGAAAAATATCAATAAATACACTGAAAAAAAAATTTGAAACAGAGTTCCATTCGAGTTTCAAACCGCTCAGAAATAAAACCGAACAGACGAGCAGTGGCAAATCTGGAGCAAAATAGTGCTCGATTAATGAAACTGAAACTCAGCATCGCTATCTGGTTTTACAATTTGATTTTCTGTTAATAATAGATCGACAATAACATACTGAAAAACAACAGACAAGCACTTAAAGCGAGCTTGCGATATAGAAATATTATTTTATTCTCTCAACAGCTGAACCTGGCATAATTTGCTTCATCGTCAATATCAATTGCAGGTCAAAGTGAAAGCTGAGAATAGTCGTCATTGAAGAATATCATATTTCAATTATGCCTTAGCAAGAGCTGCGTTTACCGCTTACAGGCATTCTTGATCCGTTGTACAGTTAGTTACTATCTTCTCTCTAACAAACACTGACATTGACACCGATTTCTAAGAGGCGTTAATCACGGACACTCAACAATCGCCTTCACGGTTTGGCTGTCGAGATTTATCTCCCATTCAATGGAAGCATTTCAATTTCAACCATACCTATACCTCAACAAAGAAACCGTTCTGGATTCATTCAATTCAAATTCCATCATTATGACATTTTCAATCCCTCCCACAGCGCCAACTCACAACGAACTAGAAAACTAGTGGTTCCGTCGAGTCACACCCGCGAGGGGGGGTCCGGTTGCGTTGCGGTTGGTTCGCTGCGCCTTTGGTTTCTATAATCACATCTTGTTGAGCAAAATAGCACGAACGGGGAAAAAGTTATAAAATTTGGTCAAACTACTACCTTACTGCCACCGATCGAGGAACAGAGGGTGGCGCCACTTGGACTGCTGCACCTGGGTGCTGCCACCAAATTATTACGTTCTGTTTAGTGGTGGTTTTGCAGTGCCGCACCATGCGGCATCTTTGTTCGCCACTTCACTATGTACCTCTATACAGAACCTTAGTGGCGGCTTGAGAGCTGCCTAGTTTATGACTCATGCAAGGCAAGCTTTCACGCTGTTTTTTTTTTTTATTTATGCAGTGCGAAATTACTTTTACTTCCTCCGTCGGGTCGGGTCGAGTCGCCTGGGTGGCATTGTATGGACTTGAACCACGAGCTCAGGCAAGTTGGAACGGTTGGGAATGCTACGACGGGTTTTTTTTTGTATTTTCAAATGCACATTCTGAGTGATGAATCACGGCCTAAAGAATTTTTACTCATGCATTGCATGCGCATATGTTGAATATTTAAGGCGGCAGTAAAAATGGCATTAACTCAAGGTAATCGCAAAGATTGCATTTTAATGACTTGCATGGGCTTTTAAAACGGTTTTCTATCCTGTATTCTTTTTCATGATAAAAAAAAACAAACAAAACAACTTCTTAACGTAAACTGATTTATACTTTCTGTCCATCATCTTCTAACTTTCACGGCCGCAAGGATATTTCACCACTTGACACCCTCGGGGTGTGTAATATTCCATTAGAACACACTCCAACGGAAAGCAATTCAAACCACTAAGCTCGAGCGACTTAGTCACGGTCATTGGTGAGTTGTGATTTGAAGGACTTCCACCACGACTCGAATTACCATTTTCGATATACGACCAGTCACTTGACGAAACGATTGAGCTTTGGATCGAGTTGCACTAGTCTAGTCCCAATAGCGTACACTATTGGCTCCATACTTGACTTTATGTGTTCGGCGATGACGAGTCCAGCCACGCCAACGCCTTCTTCCTTCAGTTTATCAGCACATAAACTTGACCCTGCCCACCTTCACTCCGACGAGGACCGGTAAAGTTAGTTTGAAAGCCGTCGCGTCGGTTGGTCGCTCGGTCCGACTGTGCGGGGGAGTGGGATTCTGAATGCCGAAAATGGCACTCCTTAGGGGCCATGAGAACGAACAACGATCCAATCGATGTCGATTTTAATGCCAGCCAAGCCATCAATTAGTCGATCTAATGGAAGGAAAGTTTCCCTTCCGTGCTGCTTTTCCATGTCCGAGCACGCGGTCAGTGTCTTACCTTTAACTTTGTTGCTGAAGGGAGCTGGTGCAATATTTCAAACACCTGAAATTGTACAGGAGAAGAAAAGCAATACATTAGAGCTATTTTTAAATCAATTTCTTGTAAACAACGGTAATCTACATCGGAGAGAAAAACTGGTCGAACCATCTGCGACGAATGACGACAGTATCAAACGAAAAAAAGACTGCCAGCTGAGCTGCATTTAGTGCTTGCTGGGCGGCACGTTCCCAGTGACCATTTCAGTTAAATAGGGTGTTTGGGAACTCTCGTTAAACCCCAGGCATCGTCAACAGGGGATTGCGTGGACATCGTCTTCGCCCAGCTCGGAACTTCCGATTGTAGTCCAAACATGCTGGTCCGCTTGCGTCGTGAATGAAACCGACGGATGAGAACACGAGATTGCTGTTTCACCGGAAGAAAATGTTTACTATTATTTTAGAAGGCTTGTTGAGCTTCAACGTTGTAATTTGTGCCTTGACTCGGTTGTTGAAGATGTGAAAAATGATTCCAATGATATCAGTCTACCCTAAAAATAGGTCAAATATTGCGCGGAGATTGTGGCGATTTAGAAAACAACATTTTAAAATTTTAGTAATATCAGTGCTAGTAGCGATCAATGCTGTCAAAATTAATGATTTTAGTGACCATGTTGAAGAAATAAGTGGCCAAATAGTGACTTATAGTTGTAAAAAAAGTGACTAAAAAGCGATCTAAGGGAAGAAAATTAGTCGTTCTGATGGCATATCAAATAAATGTTTGATGTTTTAGACTTATTCAATTAGAATCTCATAAACACTTAAATATATACGATAGGAACCTTTAAAGCGAAAGATTCAATAGAAAGCTTATGACTAAACCTCCAAGTGTCTACTACATGAAAAAAAACCCAGAAAAACCGGGAATTCGCAGGGAATTTTTTTTTCCTGAAAATACCTGAAAGTCTCAGGGAATCTTATCATTACTCAGGAAATTTAATATTTTTATTTCTAAGGATAGGGTTTTTGATCTAATTTCCGTCCTACTAAGCACAACGCGCACTTTACCTCTCATTTCTGAACGAGTTTTAATTAAAAATGGAATATTTCTGTCAAAGATGACTTCTAAATTTATTCACCATTTCATACGTACTGTTAGATTTGATAAAGAGTCACAAATTGTTGAGATATTGTTTAAAATCTAACACTGCTTCTTGATTCTAAATTCTTTCTACGAGTTTGAATTCCGTACTAACGCATTGAAACGCCATTAGATTTTCTTCGTCCTACGGATAAACGTAGAAAAAGGGGATTCGCTAGGAGCGCTTCTTTTGTTTTGAGAACAATGAGCGTAAATATTCATACAATGCGCTCTAACAGGATTTATGTTGTAACTAGTGAACTAACGCATCGAAACAAACCTATTATTGATTTGTAAACGGTGAAGTCATTGATATTATTGATCTTTTCTGATCGATAGAACGGAAATGGGCGATTACGACGAAGTAGCGCTCTACCCTATTCCAAAGAAAAGAATGCACTTTAAAATAAAAACATTGAATATTTCTAGTTATTTTCATTCACACATTTGAAATTGGAGCATAAGTCCTCGTAATTTTTGTATTCACCAGAGTGAATGGGGATACTAAAAGGAGAAATACAATTAAATCTGTAAATAACTTCAGGAGATCTTCAAAGAAATTCGAAAATAATTCCAGGAGAGGCTGTTAAACAATGAACGGAAGAAATCTAAGGAACTTGTGAGGAGAAATGAAAATGAATTTTTAGGAGGATTTCAATGTGAGTAGAATATCAAAGGAAGGAGTGAGATTAAAAAAGCAATCTGAAATGAATTCAATGAAAATTCTGAGAATATTTCTATAAGATATCTTACTGAGGAGAATTTCAAGGCAACTCGTAGGAAAATTTAATTCGGAGGATAGTTGCGAGAAGTATCCTAACTATATTCTTGTGATATTTTTTTAGAGAATTCAGAGAAGCGTTCTGAGTGAATTTCTGTAATAATTTTATGAGAGTTTCGGGAGAATACGGGCGAATGATAAGGAGAACTCCAAGCGAATTTTCATGAGAAATCTCCGTTGAATATGTAATGGACTATTCTGAGGTCTTCAGAACAAATTGAAAGATCCCAAATATTCCTGAATTTAATGAAACTGCCTTGAAGTTCTTATGTAGTTTGAGAAACTAGCCTGATGCTCACAATACTTTTCATTGTTGTTTTTAACTTCTCTAAACTTTTTCGTCATTCCTAAAGTTTCAATAATTTTCCTAACGATCATGAATCTTCTCTAAAGTTTTAATAATTCACTGAATTTTTTGAAACCTTTTTAAATTTTTTTGTAATTTTTTACACTGGAATATCTCTGCTCTGAGGATATCTGTCTTGAAGTTTTCGAAACTTCTCTTAGGTGTTTGTGGTTCTCATGAAGCTTGTTGAATATAATTTAATTTAATTGAACTGTTCTAAAAATGTTTTAGCTTCCGTGAACTTCAGGACTTATGTGAAAACCTCAATAATTTTCTTAACATCTCTAAAGTTCTTAGAAACTTCTTTAATTTTTCCGCTAATTTAGTGAGACTAATGAAACTGAACTCCCCTGAAATTCCGTTTGTTTTTGGAGCTTTACTAAACTTATTCGAAATGCTCCCGAAATATCCATATAAGTTCCTGAAGTTCTCGGGTCTTCCCTTACGTTCCATAGACTTTTATGAAGTTCTAGAAATGTTTCTGAAGATCTCTGTACTTCTGTGAAGTTTTAGAATTTATTCTGAAATTTCAGGAACTTCTGTAAGCTCCCGCATTGAAAATAATTAATATAGCCCTATGATTTTCACTGAAGTTATCAAGATTAGTCGCTTTTCGAAACTAACTCACAGCTTCTTCAATAGTCTAGAGTTTCCTGATGTTTTTAAAACTGCCCAAAATATGTCTCAATTTCTTTAAAATTCTCTAGACTGCCCTGAACATCTTAGTATTTTTTTTTAAACCCACAATTTTACTGGAATTGGTTCCATTGCCTTCAAGTTCTACAATTTTCCTTAAGTCTTATAAAGTTTATAAAGGTTCACGGAACTTTGCCTTAAATCACTAATTTTCCCTGGAAAGTCCAGTCCTGAAGTTTTCTATGCTTACCTTCATTTCTCTTAATTGATCAAATGTTCCGGTAAATTTTCTGATATATATTTATAATTCCCTGAATCTTCCAAAGTTTTCAGATCAATCACAGAAGTTTCGGAATATCTCATAATTCCAAGGAACTCCTTGTAAGTCGCTGCAAATTTCCTTACGATAATGGGATTTTTGTGATGTAATCTGATCGTCCTCGGAGTGCTCGGAACTTCATAGAATATAACGAAACAATCTTAAAATATCTAAGTATCTTAGAATTTCTTGAAAATATCGTTGCTTACTAAAAATTATCGCAGTTTTTATAATTAATGGAACTTCGTTGATGTTCTCTAATCAACTTAGGTAAATTTTCTAAATTTTCTAGACCTTGAAATTTCCATCATATAACACCCTTGAAGTAATCTCACATTTACGAATGTTCATAAAATTTTTATTGCGTTCCAGAAATTTTCTCTGAGCAAACCGAAGTTTCCGGAAATGTTACTGCCGTTATACGCATAAGAGTCCCACGGTGCATAAGGATTGCATAGAACATGGAACAGTTATGCGTATAACGGCAGTTTAAGGTTGCTTCAATTTTCATTGAAATTTTTTTAACTGCCCTTCAATTCTATGATCTGTCTTGATGTTCTCGGAGCTTTCCTAAAGCTTTCAATTCTAATGAAGATCTCGGTTCTGCTTTAAAATAAATGGAATTCTCGTGAACACCTTTAAACTTCTCTGTAATTCTCTGGAGTTCTGTGAAGTTCCTGACGTATTTCTGAAGTTTTCATAAATATTCTGAAGGTCTCTGTACTGAATCTGTAGGGACATCTTAAGGGTTCTCGATTAGCGGCGCCGGTGGTGTAGTGGTAAGCGTGATTACCTCTCACCCCAGAAGGCCTGGGTTCAATCCCAGTCGGCACCGCGGGGATGTTCATAACATCTCTGATCAGGGAAGTAAAGCTGTTGGTCCCCGGTTCATGAGTTGATGGGTCGATAGGTAGGGTCCAGGTGTGGGAGTCACTTTAGTCTATTATTTGAAATTAGTATATTCAGCTATGTAAATCGTTAACTTCACGCAGAAGTAATACAAACGAAATAGTTAAAGTAAAAACTGGTTCGATTTTGACAGTTCAAATTGGTTCGAAAATCATTACGTCTTCGCCAGACCTAGTTTAAGATGTGTTGATCGCAAATCCATATCAAATCCTTCTCAAGAGCACTTGTTGTCGTCATCTGTGAGGTCGTCGCTGATATAAGGAACTCGGTGGCCTAGTGGCGACCGATTTTGCGTATTGAGCAGAAAAACAATGGTTGAATGAAGTAATCAAATCGGGTTGTTAGCGGAATGCTTAAATAAAACAGCAAAAAAAGGGTTATCTTCCATTTAATTCCACTTAATTAATTTTGGTATGCATGACAGATACGTATTTCGACTACAATGTGCAGTCTTCATCAGTGTCATTCCCACTGAAGAACTTATCAAAATTTAACCCCCTCAAGTACTCATCTCCTAGGTATAAAAGTCAAGATCCTAGGGGTTGAGTACTTAAGGGGGCTCAACTTTGATAAGTTCTTAAGTGGGAATGAAACTGATGAAGACTGCACATTGTAGTCGAAATACGTATCTGTCATGGATACCAAAATTAATTAGTGGAATTAAATGGAAGATAACCCTTTTTTGCTATTTTAATCGTCCAATCTCAAGCTCCTTCACATAATAGAGCATTAGTGTGAATCGGATTTAGTCTTAATATGTGATAAAGCGTATTGAAATTCGGTTGAAGGGCCGAGTACGTAGAAGAAGTGATATTTGAGTTTTAGGAAAGATGTGTAGATTGGAAATCAAAATCAAATTCTTCTCAAGAGCAATTGTTGTTGTCGTCGCCGCCGGGATAGCGGACAAGTTGAGTGGAATCTTCGTAATTGTTGGC